TTGGGCGTTTTGGGCTTGCAGAAGTCCAAAAGCACGGAATCATGCCCCCCCCCCCCCCACCCCAACCCAACCCCGAACCCCCAAAATCTTCCGAAAGCGGCTGAAACTACACGCGCGGGTACGCGCCGCAGTCCAACTACATACACCGTGAAAGAACCGTGTACTAAGAGAACTGCAGTGGCAATAGTCGTGTAAAAAATGCAGGAAGTCACATGGCTTAGCTTGATTCTGTTGCCTTGCAGTCAACCAATGCTGCACTGTCCACCTGTAGTTATGACATTATTGCTGCTATCGACAGGCGAGACTCATGAACTATGGCAACAGAGTCGTCCATTTTTCCTGAAAATGTTACGAGGCTTCGGCCGCGTCCGCAGCGGCCTCGGGTTGTTCGTCGGTGAGCTGCGCTTTCACTGTCGCAAGGTTTCAGATTCAACTCCGAACGTAGCTGTGCGGGTAGAACGACGCATCTCTGCTCTGAGCCACTGGCGTCGAGCTGAATTGTGGCCGTTTGCTCCCTGGGATGTTCAGGAAACATGACCAGTCATTGCTGGAGAGACCCCAAAACGACAAGTTGCTCCTCGCATGCTGACAAAGCCCTCCGTTCTGTATACTCTGCCATACTTTGCTAGCGAGAGCTTAGACGCGCCTCGCTCTTTGAAGCTTTGCCTGTGCGGACAGGGCAGGCACCAGGCTGAAAACCTCGCTACATGGCTATGCCGCATCTCCCTGGGTTCGGCATGTGCAAAAGCACATGTTGCCCTTACTTCGCCTGGCAGTTGTTAAGACACCTGTGCAGTCAAATGAAACAAACATATGCTACTGCTGATGCTGCTAATGGATGATGCTGGTTGACCAAGAGCCCAAGGGGAGACTGACCTGGCAGGATCTGGAGCATGTCGGCTTGCATCGTGCCTCGACAAGCTCTGGAGACAGCTTCGCAGCTCCCTGAGGCGACGTGTCACGCCAGCAAGCAAGGAGTGCGTGCTCCTGCCGTATTGCAGCCCGACCTCGTTCTTCCAATCCCAACCAACCTCGGAATAGGAGAGCAACAAGTGAGAGGACATGCTCTTCAGCGTAGAGGGGCCCGGCTCCCCGTTTGTACTAACACGTGTTCCACCGTTTCAAGATTTAGTAACCAGCCCTCCCCGCTCGAATTGACAAGTTTTTCCTGGTGGTGACCACGGGTGCTTGCAACGGACATGCATCTTGAAGCCGGCTTGCAACAGGACACAGCACGACTCTTCTTGGAAGGTAAGCAAATATCTTGGAGATCTTTGATGGAACCCAGGCTCAATCCTGCCTCAGGGAGATCCTTAAAGCAGAAACCATGAACCAAAAAAGGAACAAACGAAACAAGTACCCAAAAGCCTTCTAGAAGCTGCGACGGTATGCACGAGTTGCTTCCTAGCAGCCTCTTTATCCCTTCTCCCATCTCTTTCTGTCTAACAGTCTAACAGGCAAGAAAAGGTCTCTGACACTGCGTTGCTCGTCAAGCCGCCATCGGCCCGCACGGCCGACCGAGAAGTTTTGTGCTGCGCTCTGCCTGCAAAGGTTGCGATGCTCACGCTCGCAGAGCAGGCACAGGCTTCAGGCAACAAGTGTCCGGGCGCTACTACATTGACATGTGGTTGCCGCTGCTCATCTGTATCAGCCAAACGTCATCCAAACCCGTTCAATGGATCAACGGCTCAACTAATGGAAGAATGAAAGATCCCAGGACATTATGGGCAGGGAACCTGTGTCCAAGGTTTTGATTGCCTCCACCATGACCACCCATTCTCAAAGCAGTGTTCAAGACACCAGGCCTGTACAGCCAGGCCTGTACAGGCACAAGTATTAACAAATGTTTCAGAGCGGCCACGAGTCCGCAGTTACCCACTTCTCACGTTGGACAAGTACCCAAATCTCGACCGTTTCAACAGAGGCAGAATTCACCACGAGTTTCGGTGTGCTGTTACCTGCATGCAAGCGAATCGACAAGCAAACGAAGTCGCAAGCACGATGCAAAGGTTTAGGATTTGGGGAACCCGCATCACGTTCGCAGTCAGACCCTGTTAAACGAACGGAAGTACCATGTTTGCAGACCTTCTTGCTAAATGGGGGGCCTTGCATTTATTGCAACATACCAAGCCAAAATCACACGTATCCGTGTTCGAGATTCTTCTCCGAGTCAGTATCAGCAATCCAGGTAGCAAATATCCGACACCCAAAGTGACATTGCTGGAGACATGCTCTGCCAGCTGCTTGCGGGATCTTGCGGGTAATCCAGTGATGAGTTGCAGGTTGACAGAGTGTGTAGGTCAAGCATCTGTGAAGTTGAGGAAACTCATTACCAACACCTATCGGCACTGCCTTGCGAGCGGAAAGGAGCGCCTTTCGGATCGCCTGGAGGGCGTCTGTTCCAATCTACCCTCCGTCTACCCACTAAAATACCGACAAGGGGAAACTTTCTCTACTGGGGCATTTGCACCTCGTTCTCGTACGCAGGCATGGCTGTGGTGTAGAGCTCTTCCTGTCGCGGAGGGCGCTTTGCGCCCCCTCACATACCACAGGATGGCTGCAATGAGCGTGTTCGGCAGCATGCATGACACGTCCAAAGATATCGCTCACCAGCAACAGAAGCTGACGCAACATCCGGTAGCTACAGTAGCCCTCGTGATCCATGGGCTCCTCCTGCCCGTAGAACAGGTCCATCAAACTGACCTCGCAAGCTGGACAACGATTGCAGGTTCGACGTTCGGTCATGAGGCAAAAAGTGTCCGCTTATTGCCGGCTCGAAGCATTGCCTCCTTAGAACATATTAGAACATACGCATATGGCACTTCCAACACAACAGAATGCTGTTCAGCAGCTCTGCTAACTCCCGGCCCCTGCAAACGCCGCCACAAGTGATGCCAAGCATAGCAGCCAGAGATCATAACAAGATCGAGCGCGGCCTTGCCACTTCTGTAAGATTCGCCTTCGCATTTCCTCAGATGCGGCCGGTCAGGGAGCTGACGTTCCTTCAACGGCCGATGGCTGCATAACTAGGGACCATGCTTCAAGGCAGGTGGACAACAACCGGAACGACACAGAAAAGCAGTAGATTCAGTAGATAGATAGAGCAGCAAGTCATGACGGAACTCCTTTGCAACACAGACAGCTGAACCGAGCTTCCCTGGAGCAGCGCCGCCCGCGTCGGTGAAATGCCCGTACTGCCGCATCCTGCTGGCAAGTAGGGTAAACCGTGAAAGGCACGATAATAACACAACAAACGTGAAATGAACGTTGTGACATGATGCGTCTCTCGCCTGCGCTTGGCTTCATGGTCACGCTTCTCACTCCGCTCTACAAAGGAATATCTGTTGCAAGCTTCAAGACTGAGATGCTTTCTCCCTCCTAACTCAAAGCATTCCATATGCTGCGGTGCTTGAGCTAAGGCGGAGTCCATGTGCCACTGGGATCAAGGCCAGTCCCCCCGGCGGTATCAGATTCGCCTTGCAAATGAGTAAACCGAATGCCCACGGCAGAACCCTCTTCGTCGTGCTGCAGGACAGTAGTAAAGCAAAAGCAACTCAAGCTGGGCATCAGCATGTGGGCTGCTGCGAAACTGCCCGTGCAGGAGGTCCAGATACCGACGAATGGAGGAGTGTAGCGTCACGGGCAGATGCTCTTATGCAATCTGTACAGGCCAAGACATGCCAAGACAAGCACGGCACGCTTGATCGCAGAACGGCGTTTTGCTTGTCCCCGCCTCTCTGTTCGAACGTCTTCGGCTTGGGCACAGGAAAATACAACATGGCTGCTGCACCTTGTCAGCCTAGGAGCCGCAAAGCTTCTTGCAGACACTTGCGTGCCGTTGCGACGTCCCTGAAATCCAAAGCCGAGGAGGCCAATTCCAACTGTTCTCGGGCCTTGTCACGCACTGGACCTGTGCCCTGTGGTGCGAAGCCTGCCGGCATGGGACTGGGACACTGGGCGACGGGTGGGCACGGGGCCGCCGGGGCCGCCGGGCTTGCTGCATAGGCAGCTGAAGGCCCAGCCACGGCGGTCTCGGATTCCTCCCCTAGCGACCCTGATGCTGCACCAGGGTCATTAGGATACGAGGGGATCCCCTGCTTCAACCCCTCCCTAATTTGAACAACTCTGAATCTGGCATATCGAGCCTTTTCAGCCAGGTCAGGAGGAAGCTCGCCATCATGAAATTGAGCACACACATCCAGGAAAAGCGCTGCTGCATAGAGCTTGGAAACTGCTGCTGCTTGGCCGGTCTTGTCCCGTGCAGATCTGTCAGAAGCATCTGCAGCGTCGAACACCCGCAAGGCAAAGGATTCCACTGTACCTTGTCCATCGCTGCTTGAAATGTTTAAAGACTTCTTGACGTCTTCGGCTTTTTGCAGCTCTGCAAGCAACAAGTTCTTCTCCTCCCCGGAGGCCTCACCTTTCTGGTGTGCACGCATCAACTGTTCGATGGCGTGTAAGCGGCAATAGTATGCAACGGCCGGTTCATGCTCAGCAAGCTCCTCAGCTCTCTGAAAGTACGGCCGGCACTTTGCAAGCAGCGACATGGCTTGCGCGGGCGGGAAACAACGTGCCTCTCTCCAGATTCATGAATGACATATACATATGGGATGACTTTTGGGCTTTCTGTGACCAATGAGTCTCCGATAACTCAAGGGAGGTCTGCAAACTCTACAGGTGTCTGCCCTGCACTGCTGCCTGCAGGGATTTGATAACGAAAGCTGCAGCAAGACAGCAAGTTCACAGAAGATGAAGGGCGCTCTCTGTCACAAGAAGCATGCAGACATAAGAAAGGCCGAGGGGCCGTTTAGGAAGTGGTAGATGACGATGTTCTCCAAATCACCAGTCCTCTGGAACTGCTTGGAGCTGAGAAGCTGAAGAATTTATACACTCGCAGGGTGACATCATTTTTGCCCATTGATCCTTCGCGGCTCCGACCTCGCAAACAATTAACACTCCGCTGGTGACAAGATGCCATCCATTCCCTTCGAAGGTGTCGGGGGTCACGAACTGATTGATTGGATCAAGTGTGTCCTTGGCTGCAGGACGCCAAGACGTACTCACGAGGACTGTCGACCCCATTCGACAGATGCGTTCTGTCTTTGGTGGGGGGGCTCAGGTGGCTTCGCAGCAGACTCTGAGGCCATGGCCCATAACGGAATCTGTGGCAAGTCCAGGTCGTCCTGCATCTGAGCTCCGGAAACCCTGCTGAGCCTGCTGACTGTCATGATCGTAGGCTAGCGCACATGACAATCTCGAAGCATTTGCGCAGGTAGTGCTCGGTAAGCAACACGTGGGATTTCAACTTCCATGGGTTAGGTAGTGTGTGGATGCCAAATCCTTTGAGACCCGCTCGGTGTAGTTGAGGAACGCACTGAAGGTCCTTGGGTGCAGGGCACTTCCCACTGTCAGGCTAGATACCAGTAATACTAACTTTCAGACGGCCAACCCTTCTAGCCTCATCCCCAAACAACCAGCTGAGACTGAAAACCACATGCCTTGCAAGTTTTGAAACTTCATGTCGCGTGTACGGATCCAGCCTTCCCGGGCCTACTCAAAAGTTGGACAAGATCTGATTGGGATTGCTCAGCGAACTGTCTCGTGCTCCTGCAGGGTATCAAACCTTCCCACTTGTCGCGGGGGCTAGAGGGCACATTTCGGAGATCCAAGGTGTCATGTGGACAGGCACGTGGGACTCTAGACTCTAGTACCTAAAGTGAAGCCGGCACGCGCTCTGGCAGCATGAGCCGGAGGGCTTCTACTCAGAGATGCCAACTCCGGATCCCATCGACTGCATCCGAGCGTCTTCTGATCGTGCTCATAGGGATGATGGTACATCCAAACCTGATGCCAGTATTGGAGGGCTGCGGACGTCTCTCGATACCACAATTTTGGTTAAAACACCTTTTATAGCCGAAAGCGAATCACGTTCGCAATTGCCGATCTCCTCGGCTTCCGTGGCTGGTTGGGACACGAATTGTCGACCAGACTGACCTCTGATGGCCTTTGGCGCGATCTAGCTCAGCAGGTGTTGCCGTGAGCTGTAATTAGCAGGTGCCAACTGCTGATGAAGTGTAGAGCTTGGTGCAGGCTGCGTGGGCAAGTTCAAGAATTTTTCTGCCAACGTAGCAGCCCTTCATTACTGGGGCCCTTGCGAGGACGGATAGCAGCCAGTCCACGACAACACGCGTGGAGCGGAAATACACCTTGCATCTTGCACCGATCTGGTCTAGCAGCCTAGCATTCTTGTAGTTACTTGGTCGGCGACGATAGCAGAACCCAGACGAGATGCAAAAAATACTGGGGCCAGGGCAATGCCGTTGCAGATGCAGTCTGCCTTTCGCAAGAGGGTCTTGAATAGTCTTGAAACCAGCGAAAGAGGGACTTCTTCAAACATTCGTATAATTGCTTGTGGGCACAATCGGCAAAATAAAGTCGTGAGTGACACTTCATTATTGTGCACAGCTGCTGATGATGCCACGGCCTCGAATGAACCTGAGACCAAAAGGTCGTATGGTCCGCGCCTTACATCAAGTCCACAGAGAGGCCATGCAGAAAGTGCAATCTTCGGAATTGTGTACCACCAGAATCACTGGAGTTCGGCTAAGGCTCCCGACTCTGCATGTTCCAAAAGCGCTGGCGTTGGGTCGACCATAAGGAAAACGTCCAAGTCGATCCACCTCAGGGAAAATTGGCACTCGGACAAAATGCCCTTGCGAGCTCCCTTCCCATTCTGTGCCACTCCGTGCAAATCACAAGTCCTAGACGAGTCCTAGAGGCCTCAGATGCCGAGGTGTGAGCTGGCCGAGACAAAGCATGCCAGCAGCACACGGTGTCCAGCCCAAGGTGTGCACACATCAACGGCAAAGTGAACTTGTTCATGATTGAAGGGGTTCCTGTGCAGTCATGTCGTGCATAATGGTGGCAGGCCATTCTGCCATGGGAACCCAAGGACTGACTACAGACGAACGAAGAGACCTCGTCGATTCGTCGATACCATCAAAAAAATCTTCGGAAATCGTGATCTCAAGAACACACGGCCTGAGGCCCTAGGACAAGGATAGGGAGGTCCTCGGATGCATCTTTGGCCATTCTCCACCAGGCACCTGGGGCAGCAAGATCTCATCATTCTGAGCAAACTTCAGCTCCAGAGAGTAGACAGACTTGCGACAGTGTTGCTGTAGGACTTGGTGCCCAGCAGCTCAAAAGCTTCCTGGTCTAACCTTGACAGTCTCACGCCAAGTTTACAACAAGACCAACACTGCTTGCACGCGCAGAAGTCAGAACGGCAGCTGTGTTTTGCTATCTAGCCGATTCCTTCCCAAAACTGAATGGTCGTGCCGAAACAGGCGGACGCCTCTAACAGTGCATGACAGAGCGTCTGACGTAAAGATGAGCAAGCGCTCACCCACAAGGCCCACTGATCGGGCGCGAGCACAAAAGCGACGCATGTACCTGCAACTAGATGGGAGGAAGCGAAGCGGGCATCATGACGACTGATGTCTGAAGCCTGCTGCACAGAGAAGAAGCAGTGTGATGTGCTAGCTTCTGCCTGCTTCCTGGCTCAGACTGTCGGCGTGAAGCTGGACAGAGTTGTTGCGAACTGCACATCAGTGAATCTGACGAAATCGACGGAAGAGATCCCACGATGGAACCAACTGCTCCAAATCTAAGCGTGGAAAACACTGCGATCAAGATTCTACGTCGCCTGTTGAACTTTGCCCCATAGATCATTGTGATGTACACAAGGTTGGGCGCCTGCTTCCAGAGAGTGGCTGACTGAAAAACAGCAACATCGCAAGGAGCAGGGATTTTTTTAATGCAGATGACCTAGCAAAAAGCGCAAGTAGTGTCTCCGACCTTGCTAGTCGTATCCGTTTTTGTAAGCCCCAGAGTATCCTAGTCCTATGTCTTGCACGTCTGCCGACCTTCCGAGCACCTTCCGACACCACAGGCCTCTTCCCAAGCAGGCCCCAGCTTTGGGAGCACAGCTGCCAGGTCGCGGAAGCCTCGGTGTTCCAGAATCCCGGACTTTCTCATAACTGGTCCAGACATGGACTCCGAGTTGATGCAAGGAAGCCTTCGCCGTCTTTTGCCTCTGAATGCCTCTAAATTCATCCGGGCGTCTTTGAGAGCTTTCCTGTCAGGTTCTAAAGCCCAGGCATGGGCTGCAAACAGTCATCAGCCGTCACGACTGCAGCTGGGCAAACAATAGCATGTAGTAAATGACTGGTTTATAACAACATGCATCATCTAGAAGGCCAAAGCAGCCGCAGTCAGTGCTGCCCAGCCTTGTGTAAAGATCCCAGCCAGTTGCCCATTGCCGCAACGAACGTCGTCGACCTCGGAAACGAAACTCCCATCAAACTGCCATGGTCAACTGTTTTCTTGTCGGCTGTGACCTCCGCATGTTGAGGCCCCGGCTGACTCAAGATCAGTGGTGATAGATTGCCGGACAGCTCGTCCTGTCGGCCAAGATGCGCAATGCTACATTGCAACAGAGACCCACTGGCCGCAAAAGCATGTGTACGTGTACAATGTACCAGCCTCTGTGAAGTCGAGGAAGTACTGATGTCTGGCAGTCGTGGCCTGGGCATGCATTGGCCCTCGTCTGAGTACGGTAACCAAGCATGGCGCAAGTGTCTCACACACACACACACACAGGCCTCTACCACACCAGCTGTTGTCACGAGATCCCACGAGCCACTATGAAGAGACATCTTCGGATGATCGAAGGCACCCAGGAAGCCAGCAAGAAAGTTGAGCAGCGTCGCCAGAGGCCAACGGCCTGAACTTCGCCGAAGTGCGAAGAAGCTTGTGGCACATCCAAAGGAAACTAAGCGAGTCTGCGACTAATTAGTTGGACCAGGGTGGAACCCCCAGTGCGGTGAAGTGACAAGTCACTTCCCTGGTTCTGCAAAGAACCTGCATAAGGGCTTTCATCTTGCCCTCGCCACCACATCACATGAAAACCCAGCGGAGACGCAATCAGCTGCAGCCAGGGTGCTGTGAGCCAGTAAATCTAACATGTGCGGCCTCAGGCAACTGCAAGCATGAAAGAGGGAGGAGAAACGGCAAATGTATCAGGCGGTATGTGCAGAGATAACCCACGCTTGAACCACCGAGTCCCTAGCGAAGACTTCAGAAAACTTTCGGCCTTGTTGATGCGTTCTGTGCTGACGGAATCTGACACAGAGGTTACTGTAATCTACATGTCACAGGGAGTCACAGGCGGGCCAGCACAGCGTGTCGGTCACAAGTTTATTTACGCCATGCATGTTCGCGAGATGAATCTAGTGAGCGAGTGAACCGAAATCTCACCTTTGTCTTGTCACTGCCTGCCTTGCCGGCAAAACTGTCGAAGCAGCTGCTTTCCGTAGTGGCACACGTGATGGCCTGACAACTACATTTCTGGATGACATGCCGGCGCGCCTGTCTGTTCCGTATGTCTGAAATGTGCAGATTGACGGAGCGAGTGGAGTCAGACATAGACACGTGGAGGTACAGATCCACAGATAGAATGGAACTGTTAGTAACACTAGTACAAGAAAGTTTCAATACATACACATGCAGGTATGTGTCTCAACGGCTGTATGGCTTTGCACCGCAAACCTGCTTTTCCTCCTGCTGTACCTGGCAAGGCGCCAGGCCTTGATGAGCATTGTCGTAATGAAACCCAACGGGCACTCCTTGTAGAGCTCCTTGCAGGATGGGTGACTTCGAGGGCAACAAAAATCCTCAGCCAGCTATCGCTGGCAGAAATACTCTTCCCGCCGGTGACTTGCAGCCTACTTTCCTGCCTGCGGAATTTGCGTCATCTGCCATGACATGACATAGCGGATGGTAGCGTTGTACCTGAGCTCTCAAGTCTGCTTGCAAGACGACTGCGAATGTGGGCTCGTGGGCCCCCGCCAGTCTTTCACAGCATCCGGGCGGAAAGCATCAAGGTAACCATGCCAGTTCAAGGCCTCGGACTCGACTAGATGCGATCGCGATTCGCGCCAATGAGTCGACAGGGGCTGCTGCCGGCTCCGCAAGATGCTCGCAGTTTATCACTGTGTCATTGGTGAGATCCGGGCTGCCTAACACAGGTTGAGGCCTCCGGCCATCATCAAGATTGAGAACGCCAGGGATGTGTTGAGCTCCGTATTGCTGCATCTTCCATACGACACCAGCTTGGACTTGACAGCGCGCATCGCTCCCATTTGGCACTTGCTGCGGAAGGTATTGTCTGCAAACCTTCTAGAACCAAGAGTAGAGACTTGCGCAGACAGCAACTTAAAACATTCGCACGAAGGAAGATCGCACATCTTCGGCGGCCTTCCGCAGGAGCGTACCAGCGCAATCGCTTTGACCTTGATCCACAAACTCGGACCGTCGCAGTGCATGCCCGCAGAAGGATGCCGTACTGAAAGACTGAGATGTCGCCAGCTAATCACATGGCTATGTATGGCTTAGTGTACTGAGAGAATGACCGGGGGTGAAAAACGAAACGAATCTATCACAAGGGCAAGGTGGAAGATAGCTGCAACTAGCTGAAGACTCGCCTACTCTTGATACGGGTCGAAGTACCAGAACATGAAGGTTCGGCATCGGCAAATCACACGCCAACGAATCTACATGTCTTCTAGCCAAGCCGAGACAGCTGATACGCTTGAAAAAGGTACCCAAGAAGCTTGGAGCTCGACGTGAGCAGGGCAAACAACGGCCAGCGGGATCCTGCAAACAAAAACGATCACACCACGACGAAATGACGACACCTCTTGCCAGACTCTTGCCTAAGCCTGGCAACAGCCGCACGGTCCGATGAGCACGCGAAGCGGCAGCGCACGCAGCTTCAGACCTTGGACGGAAGGGTCACTGCTGCATCACAGTTGGTGTCTACCGCATTCTGACTTGCTGGCCGGGCCCTTGTAAATGGATGCTGGAGCACAGGCAGCCCTGAGGCACAAACTAGCATAGTCCCGGTATCCAGCAGCGTGGTCGCGGTCGCCCCTGCTCCTGGTTTGAAAATGTTTGCAGGAAAGGCAGTCCGAAGCACTGGATTGATGTGACCGAGGCCCACCTACATCCACAACATCAACCACAGCAATGAAAGGACTGCGCAGCTTTGTTTGCGAAGTGTCGCATCAACATGCCGGCCGCACAACGACAGGGAAAAGAGCGACAGCTCGGCATTTAGCACGCCAATCCTCAGCGAGGCTTCGTAACATTGCACACACTGCTCACATTTGCACTGCACAATCGCTGGCAGCGACTAAGTATGGTCCCCAAAGCATGCCATTCACGGGATGGGTCTCTCCGCTTTTTCCAGCGTGCGCCTCCCGGACCAAGCGCTTGGGTCTGACATCTGACACGGCGGTCCCGGCAAGCCCAGAAGGAGCCCGCATGAAAGTGCGGCCGCTCCATGCTGGGACTTGGCGAAGCCCGGCTGAATGCACAGCCATGCTTTGAGCTGTGTTTGAGTCCTTACTAGGACCTCAAAAGCGTGTCGTGAGTCGAGCCTGAGACGCTTCAGACACTGCTAGCAACTGCCTGCATGCCCGGGTCTGCCCAGCTGAAACAGCATTTCTTGCAGCATTTACAAGCCCCGCAAACGCTGGCCCTGAGACGTGCCAGGCATGGCTGTGAGACGGAATGTGCCGACATGTGCCAGCACTGCGACTTGCGTCGGCTGGCGTGCGCGCAGCACGGAGCTAGTAGCGGCGACGACGATGGACAAAGACTTCATGATTAAGCAGAGCAAGCTGTAACATGTACCACCTGCTCCTGAACAGGGCGAGCAGTGCAATGCCCGGTGCACAGATAGTTCTTCGTCGCCGACTAAGCCCTCGTTGAACTGACCTGTAAGGCACATGAAAACTGCCAAAGCGCTGCCTCATGCCACCTTGTCTTCTTTGCCACGGCAGCGCTGGATCAATGCGTGGACCCTTGGCTGCTTGAGGCTTGAGGTCCCCGCTATCTTGGCTCAGCTGGGTCAACTCTGTCACTCGAGAGAGCAACACATCCTGGATACTGAAGCTTGAAGCAGGACACATGGGAATCATGAGTGGTTCCAGGAAACTAATGCATCAAGGTGCCCAAGGCCACACAGCGCGCCCACCACGGAACGCAACACGAAGCGAGTGGCCTGCTGAGCCTCAAGATGGGGCTGTCTGTCCCCGCCACTACATCTCCAGCAGTTAAAAAATAGTGCATGCGTCTGTATACGTGGGACAAATTTACCTTAATATGTGCACCGATATGTATATATATATATAATTATATATAATTATATATACAAGTGACATGCGTGTACACATAGTGTTTTGCATCCCAAACATACCCTACGCCACATCGATATACATGTCGGCACAAGCTGAGGACAAGCGACAAATGGCTCGGTGATCATATTCTTGGAATAGTCATTCTCCCCGTTCCTGACAACGCATGCGGGGGAATGGCTGAAGACAGGTCCTTTTTGTTGACACTTTCCCTGGACGTGGCCTGTGTCGCTCGCGCCACTGCTTGTCGAATAAGAGATCAGCCGCCCTGTCAACGAAGAACGCAATGTGTCTAGTTCATGGAGCATCGCAAGCCCCCCCTCTCCATCTACAGGAAGGTGCAGTTCACGCCGTTCCACTGTTCCCGAGGTGATCTACTATCCTAGAATTGTCAACTAGGCTGCAACTGCCTGCAACCGATCATGAATTGCAAAGCTCGTTGCATGCTGAAGCTGGCCCCATCCTATATTACAATCCACGTGGGCTTACCCTTCGAATCCCTTCGAGACAGATGGTCCAGAAACACATGTAGCGTGTTGTTACAACTAATAAATGAACCCGCTACACCATCGCAATGCATCTGCGCGATGTGTGTCAGTTGATCTTTTTCATTTTCTCCACCGAGATAGGCCACAAATGAGTCTCAAGCTCTTGCTTTCAGGAGCTCGTGCCCTCACCATCTATCTCCGACTCCATGAGCCGTCGAACGTGTATCCAGATTAGCTGACTTCTACTTCAAAAGGACAATGTGTGCGGCACAATATGCATGTGGACAAGAAAAACCCAGGGTGGTTTAGACCCTGGCTTCGATCACCCTTGCTATTGAAGTTCACCACGTTTGTGGGGAAGTCACGTCCCCCTCTAAGCTAAGAAACGCCCTGCCACATGCGTGCGCGGCAAGTCGCACCAGGTGTCAGGCAGTCAAAACTCTGAAGCGCTGGAGCACACCCAGTGCGATAAAGCTGATGAAGCAAAAGACCGCCGCTGGACTACGTCCTGGAAGCTGCGTAATTGCAAATGAATCCATATAAATTTCTTCGTTGATCTTGCTGTTTCACTTCTACGGCTTTTCGTGCAGGGTCTGAAACCTCCAGCTCCTCTAGAAGCAAAACCAGTGGCGCCGGCTGCAGCAAGAAGGGAGCTACTTTTCGACAGCCTCAACGTTTTCCTCGCTGCACCCCTAAACGCCCCTCACACAAGCGCAGCACGCATTCTCAGGCATAAGGTGAGCAAAGGCCTTTCCCCTTCCTTGGTTGGAGCATCAGGGGGCTTAAAAAACGTCTACGGCTGAACGTTGAACATACGATCCACGCCAAGATAAACAGAAACACGTGATGCAAAACGAGTCTGACTGTTTCGGGTCCAGCTTGTATCTAGCTCGAACTGCTGCCATGCGTCCCTTCCGCTGTGGAGGCCACGACTAGGCCAACAATCAGACCGTACAGCCCCAAAGCCTGCCCAAGTCAACGACGGCAAAATGAGAACCGACAGCCGACGTTCACAGCCGGCCCTTCTGTACACGACACTTGGTTGGCCATCCCTTTCAAAGTTGATCAGCGACTCCCTGTAGGCATGCGAGGAACTTTCCCTGAAGTGCGCATGGGTTCGGCATTGACATGTGCTGCAGGCTTAAATCCTAGCTTCTGACAACACGAATGGCCCCACGAGTAGCGGCCCTGGCGCTTGCGCCTCTGCGAAGATAAGAATCAAGATCATGCCAACCTGTGACAGCAGTCATGCGAACCTGCGAGAGAAACTTAAATTCCAATTACTGTACTCTCTTAGACCTGTTTGCTGACTTATGCACCCACATGCGCACCAGGCACAAAAGCACAGCAAGTCGAAGCGCGACTTGCAAGATTCAAGCTGGATACGAGTAAATGCCAGGGTGAAAACATGTTTGCGGGCGCGACAAAAAAGCCCGCAGAGCTAGGGTTTCTTAATGCAGCTTGCCACGAAGAAATCCCAAAATTGTTCAACCAATCCTGGCTCTTATAGGTCCCAGGTCCTAGAATTCACCGAGACACGAAGAGACGTGGCTGCTGAGCATTGGCCCGGACGCCAGCATCGCCCACAATGCCGATTGCGAGACCCGCAGCCAGGGAGCTCATGCCCACGGTAAGTCCTGCTAAAGTGGCTCTGCAAACACGAGGCTGGTCCTATGCAAATGATGAGGCCTGCTCCCAAGTGTGCGTAGCCGGAGTAAGCCGAGTAATTGGCTGCGTCCATCTTGCCGTTGATGATCACCGCTGTGATCAGGCCTGGGCTTCTTGGGGCTGACGTGCTTGCGAACTGCAGCTCGCGTGCTCCTTCCGGAGTTTTACCATCTGAACTGCTGATCGGCGTGGTTTAGAAGCCTACGAAGTCTTCACGGTAGGAAGCACAACGGGTCTGAGAAGCAGTAAAGCCGAGGCAGGTACCATAGATGCCGAGCACACCTGCCATAACCACCGGAATGATGGACTTCATGATCATGTCCGGACGCATGACGCCCATCGAGGCGATTCCAACTCCCGACTTCGCTGTTCCATAGGCCTTGGAACTTCTGCGAGGACAAACTTCAGGTGATGAGTGATCTCTGCGTTTTCGATCCACGAAACCATGCCTTCCCCTTGTTTTTCTGTTCGGCCGATATCGAAGTACAGTAGTTGGAAACTCCTCTAAACGTCACATATTGGTGCATGGATGAGCTATCGGCGTTTCGAACGTTGTCTTTCATCCTCGCGCCCGCTTGCGCGCTCGATGAGTCTGAGGTCTGCCAGAGCCCAGTCGAGTGGGACGAGGCACAGGTGGACACTTTGCAATGCACTTGGAAACCCCCAAAACCCCCGGAACCCTAAACCCTAAAAGACCCCAAAACCGCCTCGTCCCTGCGCCCGTCTGGAGCACTCCAAAGGAAAGTGGTCTCCCAGCAATAAAGTTCAGCAATACGGCCTGAGCCCCCCTGCTACCTTAACATGCCTGTTAACAAAATAAGCATTAAGTTTGGCTGGGAGATACCGATTTTTGAGGTTCGTGCTTTGCACATTCAATTTCAACCTGCATGTGCAAAGCCATCACCCTCTCTCAGACTGTCCCTCTCCCTTTCAATCTTTTCGATTCTGCCGCTCTCAGCAGGCTTCAGCTGCGACTGCAACCGGGGTTCCGCTCCCAAGTTGGCGAAGACCAGAGCGGAGGTAACCCCCATGAAGCCGAAGAAGGCCGAGGAAGGATCCTAGGCAGCAACGCGGGGCAGCTGCCCCTCCCAACCCTTCTGGCTGAAGCGCTTAGCCTTGGGTGCAACATGGGTAGCCGGCTAAGCGCTAGGCCTTCTCCCGTGCTGCATGTCAAATGCAAACCGAGGTGCGCAAGGCTGCATGATTCCACGGGCTAGGACAACGAGCAAACTATGGCGGAAATGGCGCAGAATCCCACTTCGAAAAGGCCACGGGAATTGTGCCGCACGTGCATGAATCAGTAGCTTTACGTCATCCGGCTTAGAGATCAGAGGCTCTCCACACCACCGAACTGCGAGTTGATTCAATAACGACAGCGAAAATTTGACAATCGCTCTGCGTGGCATGGCCACTGCTTCATACTTCTTCATTCGCTGACAAATTTGGAGCTGACATGCGAGCCCATTCCACCTGCACTAAGCCTAGTCGTTTCATGACCCCCGGCATAAAGCGAGGATGGACAAATTCGACAAGTAATACCCCAAGTTGGCATGGCCTGCACGTCGCATCCTTCTGGGAGACGCGCTGGTTGAATCCGCGGCAGCCGTTCGGATCGATACAGTAAGCATAGCCTAGTGGCCCCAGATTCACCAAGAACCATGATGACAGCATGGGTACTTGGGTGCAGGAGTTGTATGCAGGGATCTGGGTGCAGTGTGCATCTTATTGTTCATTCCCTTCAGGGCCATAGTGAAGTACGCGCTCAGCACCAGCATGCAGTGGCTTGTTGTCGCTTCAAGGCTTTCGTTCGGACTGTTTGGGACGGAAGGTATGCCTCATTGGCTGCATCCGACAGGCGATAATTCCTCACAAACTCTTGGACATGCGAGTTTCCAATGAAAGAGACATGCACATGCAACCTTCAACTGCTGCGTAAACCTCATGTCTTCGCGGCTCTCACAGACATCGGGAGGGGATCAATTCCCGGAATCATTCCCCCACAAGAACTGACTTCTGTGACTTCGCCTGGCTTGCTCTTAGAGCCACAAGCAGATTCGACTCCGTTGGCCAAGGAGCTGATGGCGAAACCATTGCGAACTGCATCTGCCTGTGAAGCATCGTAATGTTGCGCAGAGGTGCGCAGAGTCTCATAACGCACTGAGAGTCGTGTCAGCGGCGGGAAGGACAAGCAAAGCATGTAGAGATAAACATCCCTGTCGGTATGTGAGCACTCTGCTGAAAAGACGGTGTCGGTCTGGTCAAAAAGCACCTACACCTGGAAGCAGACATGTTACCGGCCTGGTTGGAACCGGCGGAATGCAATGTCCAGCCGTCGTGCCATGCCACGTCGCCGAATTGCCTGCAGAGGACAGCGTCGCAAGGCCGGGCTGGGCTTTGGTTTAGGGGGTTAGGGGTTTAGGACAGTGTCTAGGGTTTAGGGTTGTTCTCATATTGTCAGACCGCGCTGACTGCATGACAAGGTCACGCAGTGGACAACTTTGGCAACTCATGTGATCGATAAGGAAAACTTCTACCGAAGAGAACCCAAGGTGCAAGTTGTCGTCTTGCTCTGTCCTGGCCACAAAGGCAATGGAGTCTTAGCTGGCTGTATACTTTTTGAAGTGCTACTTGGACTTGGTACTGATGCATGCATTCATGTACTGGCACTATGACGGCCAGTCCAGCATGTCAGATATCGATGGCTGCGTGGCCTGGAACTATCAGAACCTGTCTTGTGCGGCCCTGTCCTCGAGGTGAGAAACCAGGTAAACTCCCAGCCCCACAATGATGCCAGAAGCGATTCAAACCAGTTGTACCTGAAAGCAGCCATCTTCGAAGATTGCAATTGAGCCAACTTGATCTTTCCCAAGCGCTGACAAATGCACGCACTGTCATCATATTGCAGGCTTGAAGCTGCCGGCGGTGTGTGCCGAGAAGGTATCCTTACGAGTCTCACAGCAGTAGAGTCGAGAAGCCACAACCGGTATGTGGGGAGAGTATGTTCGGATGCAATCATGCAGCGCAGCGGGCCGATGCCAGTTGAACAATCGCAGATTAAGGGGTCTTCATTGCTCGGCCACTTCACAACAGCTGAGCTGTTTTCAGTAAAACAAACTGCCGCAAGCATCTGAGTGTGCCAAAGTCTTTCCCCATGGCTACGAGAGGAATCCAGGCATGGACTGTTCGAAGGCCTGGCGAATCGAAGCAACTTCACAAATTGAAACATGATATAAACTGACATGCCAGACTCCAAGGCACCCTGCCTGGGTGAAGGTTTGGAAGGCCGATCGCTTCGTCGTCGCGGTGCCAATGCGTTTCCGGATCCCCGGGATCCTCAGAGACATCTGCCTCGGGGCCTAGCCTAGCTTTCACCATCTGCTTGCTTTTCAGCTGGGTCCTTCGAGAACCCGCGGTCCATGAGGATGCAAAGCCGCTCGGTGCCAGCCAGCTGTGCGGCCTCCCATACTCAGCTACAGGCACTGCCGTGCGAAGAGCTATCAACTCGTACAGTCCGGAATCGCCATCGTCAGGCAAAGGAGCTCGAGGTTTCCGAGTATGCGCTTCTTCGGGTGCTCCCTGCTTGAAGGTCCAGAGCACGGGATACCGATACTTAGGTAGTACATATGACCTCTGTAGGGGTCGCCTCCGCCCTCCTGGGTTTACGCTCTCACAACTCGGACATGCCAGGCGAGATTCATGGTGCGAAGTCGGCGTGAAACAGGACTGCGCATCCCCAAAAGTGAAGAGGAGGGCTTAGGGTTTGTGGTAATTTCTCCAAAATAGTAGCATTGATATAAAGAAGTATCCTCCTGAACTTATGACGCGGGGCTTTCCCAGTGCCATGTCTGGACAGCAGTGCCTGCTGCCAGAGTGCGCCCGTGTCTTTGCTTACGAAGTCGCTCACGGTGCCTCGGACGTCGTGACGCAATGCTGGACTTTGTTAACTCTGTGACCATTGTGACCATCTTACTCATACTTACTCATACTTGCCGCAGGGTGCCGTCCAGTTCATGCACTGCAAAGGTGAAGCGGACTTCCTGCGTCCATTCACAGAAGGTCCGAATAGCTTCGGCAAGGCTTAATCGAGGCTCCGGCACATGCTCTATGATGCTCTAAGCTTGGGTTCTGTCCTTGGACCCATCGTCTCCGAAAGCTCGTCGGCCATGCTCTGAAAGCAAACTCTCAAGTCTGGCCTGGAGTCGCACAGGAATCAAAACATCCGAGCCTCTCTGACTCCACTGACAACAACGACGAAACGACATCGGGCTCTTGGGCCAGGGTCATCAACCAATCACAAACTGCAGCCAGTCGCTGATACCGCCTGCAACTCCGATGTTGGCAACAGCTGTCCTCGGCTTTGACTTGCAGTTTGAGCGTGACACGCAGGTGGCAAGTATGTCTCGTACTGCACCAAGCATAGTCACCATGGTATCATGCCGAAGGTCTTGTGATCGCCCAACCAGTGGCACGAAAATCCTGCAAACTTCCAGAGCGAATGCCAACGAAGAAAACTCTTGGATCAACCCTGGTTCCCTTTCCCCGTTGCTCGGTGATGCTCCAAGACAATCGAGAACTGCCGCAGGCGAAAGGAAGACTTGGGGCCAACCTTCACGCACTGTGACGCCCCAACATGCCAAAATCGCCACCATCACCCCCAAAGAACAACGACTGCGATGATGCATACTCGACGAGGGGGCCGATGACTGCCGCTGCCACAACAAAACGGCGACGACCACGACGATGACAGCTTCTTCTTCTACTACAACTACTACTAATGCTACTGCTCGTGCTATCAAAAACTTCTACTTGTACTGCTGCAGCACGTGGGCCCATTCCTCGGCTCGGCCTCCTAGTATTGTCGCACTCTCGCTGAGCCTTTGCATTGCTCTCAGCAAGCTTCGGCTTCAATACTAGAATTCCGAGAAGTGACCGAGAACTACCGAAGGCCAACGAGCCGCTCTAGAAAATCCAACACGCAGAGGCCGAGCTTTCCCACAGCTGGCCGACACCATCGATTCTCTGAAAGGCGCTGAAAATATCAGACAGCTCCGTAGCTGGATTGCATGCGACCAGATTTCTGATGCTCAAGCCTGAGGGCAAGTGTTCAGGCGGCTCTTGAAAAGGAATATAGAGGCCAACGCAGCGCGCCCGAGGTCCTGCTCCAGGGGAGATGGATCCTTCACCAGCGAAGCCTTTATTGGGAGCGAGGCTCAGCGACGCAGATGCTTCTTCATAGGGTTGGCTATGGAAAGCCTAAATACTCTGAGCGGCCTCACATGCGGTCAGCGCGACAGCCAAAGCGAAAGACAGGGAGGCCATTGCAAACATAAAGAGGCTTTATGTAGACTCTAGACTCTAGACATTTCTAGATGCTCCTTCCCCGTAAGCTCTTGCCAGTTGCACTGCACTGCACTGGCTGCTTCCGGAGTTCTTGGAAGTCGCGAACTTTACATACATGCCGAAGTCACCAGAACTCACTATGGAATGACAAAGCTGCGAGAAATCGGGAGTTCGCGAAACATGCAAATGTGGCCAATGCGATGCCCTCGAAGTGGAGTTGCAAAGACCACTGCGGAGTCTAATCACCACAACTTGCACGACAAACTCGGGCTGCATCATGCTGCATCTGCTAGAAACTGGAGTGGTAGGGGCTCGCTTGAGGAGCGAGCGGACACACCCCCATCCAACCTGGGAGCGTTTGGCATTGGCAGCGTCTCGACCAAATGCAAGTGGGAAAACTTCAGGTCAGCGCACGCAGATCACCATGGCTTGCTCACAGCAGTGCATTTGCCATTTGTATCACTTCAGAAATTGTGGTGGTTGACAGCTGAACCCATGCCCTGTCGAGTACGAGAACTGTGTCTGGGGCGGCTGCTGTTATATGTAGCCTCGTCGGCAGACATAAACAAGTCGAAATACCTTGTGAGATCTTTCCGGGGAAGCCATTCTGTTGGCAGTGACTTGCTTGTTCTCAGGCTAAGGTGCTGCCGGGCCACTTTGCACTTGCATCTGTCCATTGGCTCGGATGCATCTGGCTTTCAAACATGCGAGGCCCAAAACCAAGCACCGAACCAATCTACTTCACGAGTGCCATGACACATCGTAGAAAATCTGATCAATTTGGCCGTCAGCCTGCCTCCACGTAAATGCTCCGCCTGGGCATCTGCAAAATCTGCCAAGAGCTGCTGGTAGCTTTGGGCATGTCTGGCATCGGCTTCAGAAGCCTTCCAGCATCCAGTTGAGCGTGCCGCCACTTGGACCAATCGATGCCATCCACCATGCCCTCAGTGCGGGCTATGCTTGAACTGGAACCATACTCGTGCGTACATGCGTACTGGGATATGATGGGATGACCACGGCTCGACTATCGGACTATCGAACATGATCTTATTTTCTCCTTGGTAACAAAGCGGGAAAAGCATTCGATTAATTATGCAACGGAATCGCCGGGTCATGGGGTCGCCACCAAAACCGACACACCACCGAGACTGGCTGCGACAAGCCGCTACAGCTAGCAGCGAAAGCAACCAGTAAGCCTCTCGCCACATTTCTGCAGTCATAGTCGGGGAAGAGAGGACCCTTCTCCGGCTTGACAGGGACAAGCCCTACGACCACCTTGCCAGGCAGCTCATATGAGTCTCCAGGGACGAGCCCCAGGTGGAAAGAATGGGTGGTCTGCAGCTGCAGCCTCACTATTCACTCCTCTCCATGCCTGAACCGTGGGCAAGAGCCGCAGCCATCTAAAGAGACCTGCAGGCAGCGAGTGAACATGACAGCGCTTGAAAGCCTTGCAAGGACTGGCAGGTGGTCACAAACAGCACGAAAACACTGTCAGCACAACAGAACGGGCCATTAGGCAGGATTTCCAGCATAAAACGCAGATCCCGCCCCACTATCTTGCCAGATCTATGGGTCAGGCGTTCGAGACGTGCGCACGACCATTTAAAACGAAAGCAACCGAAGGAAAAAAAGCCAGCGCACCGGACTCCTTCTTTGCATACGTGTACGCATGTCTGTATGTGAGTGTGAGTCTCGATGCAAACTGTTTGTGGCTAAATAAGACCCAGACATTGATATGGACATGGATACAGACGTAGACACAAAAACACACCCACCTGGACACCCCTCTGTCGGCACACTCTATCCCAGAGGTGAAGATGCAATGTCCATGCGCGTAAACCGTGCAGCAAACGATTATACTCACGGCTATTTACGAAGCCATCCGGGTGCACAACAGCTGCTACGTGTTCCTGGCTGCTTCATATTGTGCTTCGCTGGCCCGAGTTGTATGATTCGCCCATTGGATGCTTCGGGAACACAAATGCGAATGTAAAGCTCTCCACAAACACATGCTCACACAAATGTACACATACATACATACATACATACATACATACATACATGCATGCCTGCGTACGTACATACGTACGTACATACGCACATACGTACATACATACGTACATACATACGTATACACATACACGTACACACGTACACGCATATACATACACCAACACACATACACGTACATAAGCAAAAATGCACACGTGCATACACATGTATGCATGCAGACATACATACTAACAGACATTATGTCCATCCATCCATACGTCCGTCCGTCCATGCATACCAAAACATGTCGTACGCCGACACACCCATGCACGCATAGCCGCCAGAGCTGCATATATGCACATAGAATCACATAGACTGACATAGACATAGACTAGAACATGTCTGCGTCTCCACGCACAGACAAGACAAATGTTATGCGCACACGCGCACGCACACACGGCAACGACAATAACAACAGCAGCCGCAGCAGCAGCAACAAGAAGAAGAAGAACAGGAAGAACAAAAACAAAAACAATAACAAGAACAAGAACCACAACCACGACCACGACCACGACCGCCGCCGCCGCCGCCGCCTTCGCCACCGCCACCGCCACCGCCACCGCCACCCCCACCCCCACCACCACCACCACCACCACCACCGCAATCACAACAACAGAATGCAAACGATTATCACAATCACGATAAAGAGGTCTGCGCACAAGCACACATGTTGCTATGGACTGTTTCTCTCGTTGTCGTGGCCCGGGCTCTGGCCCGAAAAGCGAGGCATGTCTATCCATCGCGCAAGTCGCAGACTCACAATGACTTACTGCTGCAACTTAACGGCTGATAGGTGCCTGTGGTTTGTTTGACTAACTGCAGTCCGTGTGACCAAAAGGCTTGCACTCTGGTCCACAGTGAGGGCCGATGCTTGGCCAAGCCCGGTAAGCCATCTTCAGTTACAGAGTTCAGCCTCATAATTTGCATGTGCAGCTGAGCTGTCGCTTGCATCCCGTGCCCTGTAGGTGTCATATTTGCGTCTGTCGCATCTAGAGTCATCTGCAACCTTTAAAACTTCTGCTGAGCACACATGTGGTTTCACCGGCCCAGAAGGACTCTATCTGATCACGACGCTGCCTCTTGTTGGCCTAATCATTAGGCAGGCCCTGATGTTTCGATGCTCTCTGGCAAATGCTCAAGCATTCAATGCAATTTTTCACTGCTCCGTGGCTGCGACTGGTGATGTCCGCTCACTTTGGTGCGGACAAATCAGCTCCTGTAAGGTGCCAGAGTTAAACTCTGAGCATGTGGCCTATGGCGTCGACTCATCGATTCCTAGATGTCCTAGATAGGTTCAAGCTTCGAGCAGCACAAAGCAGCTGCAGCCGTGCAAGGCTCAAAGCAGCCAGCACTCCGTCGCAAAGTCCTCGAGTTGGGCTTTCACGTCTAATTCTCGCCAACGCGAGCCTGCACAAGATTGTTCACCCAGGGTTCCTACGAGAATTTCATGCGAAAGCTACTCTGGGGCAAATTAATCGGGTCTTGCACTGCGCTGGGGGCCGCGAGGGCCTCGTTCATCTCGAAGTCGAGCTCTGCGAGGCGACTCCGCATGGCCTCGGCGACTCCGTGATGCTCAACAGAAGGCGTCACAAGGAGATGGAGATGGATCACCGACACAAGCTCTTGCCATGAACCAATGAAGATCACTGAAGAGGCCGCAAAATACGGGCAGCTAGTATCTTTGTTTCCGCACCGATGCAATGCTCAGCCGTTCCCGTCCCGCATTATGCGAGGCCCTTGAAAATCTGGGAGCTCACAGACTTTAAGTCGGAAGCTCACTGGGGGTCAAAAGAGCTCGCGCCCTCCGAGTTTCAAAAGCCCAGGCCCAAGTCACACTGCGGTCTGCGCATTATCCACCAGCCCGGCGCCCAAGACTCCCTGATTTGGGCGCGCTTCTCAGCCTTGGGGAGTTGAAACTTGCCGTCGATGCACCAATTCTGATAAATCGTACCGATGAAGTTTTGTGCTGGCCCTGGCCTTGAGAGCGCAACCATGCCTTCTCCGATTTGTCTGCTCAACTGCCTAAGGCTTGTAGACAAAAACCTTGAGCGGGTTTCGTTTGCAGATGCAAGGTCCACACGACGAACCATCCACCATGTGTAGAGAGTCGCATTGTGTTCCAGTGAAAAGTGCGGATTGATAGTGTACACATAATCCGTCATGATCAGGTTGGTCTCGATAGACAAGTCGTCATGTAAAGCAGCAAAAGATCTGCCTAGGCTGTCCATGCTGCCATACAGACTGGAAAGGAAGTAAGCCTTCACGTCAAAGATCATCACCCCACCCATCTCAATTTCCGCTTTAGGAACTGAAGCTTCAGTTCGCACGACACTCGAAGGGTTCGCGAGCAGCCATGCAGCGGCCACAAATGAGCCCAGGGTGACAAGCGTACCCAGCACGGCCGTAGGCCTCCACTTCATGTATGGTCGCAACAAGCTGCTTGGGCTGCTCACCTCTGGAGACTGAAGCGACTGTTTCGTTTCGGAAGGCTCGACAACAGACGACGCTGCAATCGAGTCTTGCAGAGTTCCATCCATATCCACCTCAGCTTCTGACTCTATTCCAAAAACCCTTGCCTCGGGCATGCTTCTGGCATGACTTCTCGCGACATACACCATACTCAAGCGAGAGAGCAAGGAGGTGAAGAGCACGCGAGCATCGGCGGAAATGCCTCGAGCATGTTTACTGTGGGATGTAAGACTGCATTGCAAGTTGTTCTTCCAACTTCATACTTTCGGTGTTCGCCAGAAACTCGTTCCCCACAAACAAATAGATCCGGTTCCATGAAAGCATGACCGTCGTGAGCCGAAAGTGGCTGAGATGATCACAGCATATGTTGCTCACATGTCAGCATGGAAACCATATAACGCAAATTCAACTGCCAGGTTACGAACTGGAACCATTTGGAACCCATTTCTGATACTGCCCCCAACCTCCGACACCACTGGCGCCAGGGCCACCACTACCACGACCACAGCACCAACGAAAAGCAAAAACAGTAAGACCACCCGTACCACCAACAAAGTACGTCACACAACAACCAGCTTACGTGGCTACTGACATGGAACATTATCTATTGTACGTTCAACCATGTGCTCTTGATTGGGTTCTAGATTCTAGACCTGGTTAGACGGGGACAGTAAGGGATCTTGAACTTCGGGTGGGGCCTGGCAGTGAAGCCGTGGGAGGTACTTGCTATGGAAAGCTGCTGGTCAATTACTCCACCCACTCGTGGCGATGCTGCGCGTGTTGTTCGGATAGCCTGGTTTTCTCCTCCGTCAGAAAAGCAGCTGCGCAGCTCATGTTTTGCATTCCCCAAAAGCTCAAATCATACCCTACAGCTCGCCCGAAAAATCGACCCGCGGGATCTTCAATACTGTAGACCCAGAGGCAACATCTTTCAGACTTGAGCTAGCTTGACTGTGGCAATAGCTCGACGCTTGAGCTGGAAGGCTCGTTCTGACAATGCGAGCCCCGCGCCGCGACAACATCGGCTTCGGATGGCTGCCTGGAAACTGTGCCGGACGGGAAACACTGGGATTTTGGTTTGATGTCCGCAGCAGGAAGCTTTTGGAGGTGGAGTCTGCTGGCAGACTTGAGCACGGGAAGAAGCGACATCGGCGACAGTCAGCGACGATGCAAATTGCCGGTGCTGTAGCGATTTTAGAGGCAGTGCCGAAATTACCGCCAGGCATCTGTAGCAGTGTGTGTAGGCTTGAGGATACAACATTCATTACTCACCGAAACCCGAAAAAGGCCAGCATCTATGAAATGTGCAGCGTCCATGTATTGGTTGAGTTGAGGCCTGAAACGGCTATGTCTCAACACTCGCAGCTAGGCTCAGCCAGGGTTTAGATTCAATATCACTACGGATGCCTGCAGCCATCCGAACACGCAACCAGGGTTTAGATTCATTATCACTACGGATGCCTGCAGCCATCCGAACACGCAACCCATTTCACATCATGCAATGCCCCCCCCCAAGTAACGTCATTGCGGGCAGAAAGGTGCAGGAAATATCAGAACATCTTTGAACTATAAAGGCGCCAGGCTGGCCGCAGAAAGGTCTCCACGAACTCCGAGAGCCTCGGCGCAGCCGAGTTCCCACTTCGAGAAAATAGTAACCCTCCTAGTGGCTAGTGGCGTTATACTGGTAAATGTCAATATTGATCGAAATTTAAGCAAATGAATATTTTGGAGCTGAAGAACTGGTCTTGGCAAGAGCATGTTTAAAACAAAAACTCGGTGAGATCGATATGTACCATGCTGCTTGAGTACTGTGGTTTCACCCCCTCCTAGGCTCAACAAAAAGTTTCAGCCATCCAGACATCAAGAACGGTGTAAAGTTAAAGGTTCGCGGCTCCAGCGGATTCGCTGTCATGTTTCCGCCGAATTTCTGCCCAAGCCATCAAAAAAGGCTTCACTACACATTGTTCAATCGAAAAATATTTGTCAATATTCTTGGCCGACAAGTTGCAGTTCCCGACAGGAACCCAAGTCGACTTGTACCGTCGAAAATATTTATAAATATTTCTGGCCGAGAAGATGCAATCGCCGACAAGAACCCAGGCCGACTCTTTCAGTCGAATATATTTAGAAATATTTCCGGCCGAAAAACTTGCACTCACCAACAGGAACCCAGGCTGACTTTTTCAGTTGCAAATGCTTACAAATGTTTCTGGCCGACAAAGTTTCACTCGCCAACGGGAACCCAGCAGTCGAAGATAGTTTAAAACATTTCTGGCCGAAGAGTTGCGTTCCGGTTTCCATGGCCTGGCCTACATTTGGCCTTTTTCTTGGCTGCTGTCTGAGCTTCTCACTGCCCAAGCATAAATTCCAGCTGCCAGGCTAGAATTTCAGCTAGAAACATTTATGAACATGTTCGACTGGAAAAGTCGTATAGCTCCGGCCCCCATTTTGCAACTGTTTGCTTGCATTTGCTTTTGTTTCTTCGTGAAAAGGGGCTGGATGTAATTTTTTCTCCAGCCCTGTTTTCAAGCAGAAATCAATCCACAAAACTAAACGGAGGGCTGGAGCAAGACCGAAATCAGTTAGTAGTGTGTGTAAATATTTCTAGCTGAAATTTTGGCCTGGGGGCTGAAATTTTTGCCTGCGCCTGGGAAGCTGACGCCGTTGCTCAATCACAGCCTGACACCCCATAATGCTGCTGACATGTCCTGCGTAGCCTGTGCTCATCACGCAGAGTAAGCAGCAATGGCAACTTGGCTTATCTACCCATGTTCTGGATCACGGCAGCACATGCTGACACAGGCAAGCCTTCTCCGTTGTTGCCTCATCCAAGTCGTACTACGAAGTGTTTCGAGTGCGAAGCGAGAAAGCCTGGAGCACGCTCAGCAGACTGTTCTTTTTGCTGGCCTCAAACAGTGGGGACATCATTGACCTCTCTGAATATGTGACACATCCAGAAACTGCTCCCTGCATTGTGTCTTCATGAACTTACCTACTCCCCAGCACCCTCGCCCCGCGAGTAGTAAGGATTTGGAACTTTCGGAATTCAACCCCAGATTGGTCGGTCCACTGAAATGTGTCGGGTTTCTCGATTCCTCGCCCACAAGGAGGAGGCAAGCCGTTTCTCTAAAAATCGATTGTCTTGCGTTCCTCTCCCCCACAGCGAGGCTCAACACGGCCGCCGATTCACTTAGATCAAGTGTGTTTCCCCACATGCTGTCATGCTAGCTTAAAAAAACAACGACGTCTCCCACATGCGAAGTTTCAGCCAGAAGTATTCTTGCAGTGAATACTGAAATTTACCAAGCATTACCTAGCAGCGTTAATTATCCAATGATGGATGACAATGCAACAGTGACAAGACTAATAACCAGCCTGACCCTATCTAATGCTGATACTAAATCTAACATTACATAGACATAATATATATATATACATGCATACATACCAAAGAGTTTACAAGAATAGTAATAACAATAACCATCCGCATTCCCGCGCCACTTCCAGGCACCAGGCGCTGGCCGCAAGGAAGCTTCCATCAGAGAACGGGCTTTCAAGGCAAGTGCTGGCCTGATAAGGACACAGAATCTGGGACTCTTCACAAGACTCTCCACAAATATGAAACTGTCTGCGCAACTACACAGTCCAAGCAGAAACGCGGCTGCAAGGACACTTAAAGCCCAGTAAGGAACATCATACTGCAGAAGAACCATGTGAGCCCACATGGTATAAGACCATGCAGTAGCACTCAAGTGAGTTGACGTGTCTGAACTTGTTTCATCAGTGCAGTCCGCCTCGGCAGCAGCGGTGGTTCCGGAGACACCTCCTCGCCAACGGATGTATGAGTGCAGCGTGCAGCCGCTCTTTCGCTCCATTGGCGTGCTGCGGCTAGCAGCCACATGCGGCTGCGGTTTCGCAAGCTGTGCCATGCTTCTACTTGTGGCGTCGATACAACGCGAATTAGTGCAGTGGTGTGGCTAGTCTGCTGGTCTCTTCGTCCGTTCACTGACACTTTCCCAACCTGGCCGGCCGGGTCGTCATGAACGGAGCTGCGTAAAGCGAAGCAAATCTGCTGCACCTTACTTCCGCCAACGGCTCGCATGACGGACTGCGCAGCTTTGCGAAGTCGTCAATCGTGACGGTTTGCTCTAATATCGCGCAAGGCCGGGCCCCAAGCACAAAGACGCAAGTCTTCCAACTGCGTGATTTCCTTTGTGAGATCCTGGCACATTGATGCAAACTACTGCCCTCGCAGAGACTTTTCTATTCGTTTTCCAGTCTGTCTGTCTTTTTCCATCACTGTCCGTGGCAACTGGTGTCTGTCTGTCTGCATCTGTTTCCACCTGTTGTTTCATTGTTGACTTTGGCAGGCCGTCTGCTCCTGCTACGGCGTTTCTTCTTCGTCCTTCGTAGAACCTTTGCCGCCAAAACTCTCTGCCCAACACAGACTCCTTTCCGTTCCTCCGGGGGGCCGTTCCTCATGTCCCGCTGGTTAATCTCATTCTCGGTGTCCTTGACAGTGTCAATTTCCAGTTATGCTCCTCTGCTGTCTCCCAATCGCTGAGTCTTTGGAACCAGTACCAAGCGAGTGAGCCGAAACCCGGACAAGCGCGAGGTCGAAAGGTAAGCCATTCGCGCGCTTTTAAGCACTTGTCCACAACTGACCTCTCTCTCTCGCTCTCTCGCTGGGTGCGACATGATCGCAAACTGCCCTCTTCCACGCTGCTCTTTCTTTTCCCCGATAGTTTGCCTGCTGTTACCACTTGTTGACCCAAGTGGTGCTGGTTTGATTTGATCGCATGATAATTACTCGCTCTTCGGACGCCTCGCGTGCAGCTTTG